AGTGTCAGGGACCCCGGCCGGCGCCCGTGCCTCGCTCCCTCCTCAGCGGAAAGGACCACGGAGAGGGAGAAGGGGCGCGCGGACACCCAGCCAGATGACCCCAGCCTCGCCGGGAGGCCCTCGGAGCTGGACGCCAGGAGCTCCAGCAGCAGGCCTGACAGAGACCCTCTCACCCCACCTCAAGTAGCCCCGCGATCCCGTTAGAAGACAACGGGGTATGGGGCAGATAGCCCCAAGCCGGGCTCCGAGTGCTTGGTGCCGCGCTCCTGAACTCTGGCCTGCCTGCCATCTCTTTCCCGGACCCTGCCTGAGAGTCACCCACCTGCCCGGCCTTTCGGGGCTCATCTAAAAGGCTCCTCCGCCAAGACTAGGGGACACCAGGAATTGGGTTTGTTTGCGGTGCCTCTGAAGGGGCAAGATGGCGACAGGTCTCAAGGCGCAGGCGCAGCCACGCGCTGCCAGTCGGGAGGTGTAGTTCGCCTTTCCCGCCTTTCGGCGAACGGACCCCAGCAGGCCTCCGTTCTCCCTGTCCCCCTTTTCCTCCGCGTTCTGAAAGGAAAAGAGAGGCACCGCGGGCGGTGCTGGGAATTGTAGTCCGAACTCAAACTGCCTCCTGGTTGGCTCCGGGGTTTGCTGTCTCGCGCGCAAGGGAGCCTGGGATTGTAGTTTCTTTGGCTTCCCCTCCTGACCATCCTCTCTCGGGCTTCGCGCGCCTCTCTTCTGGCTGCCGTCGCCCAGCCAATCGGCTGTGCTGTCTGGCGTCACCCGTAGCGGTCGTAATGGCGTCGATAGCTGGGACCGGAGATTTTAGACGACCTTAGAGATGATGGGGAGGTAGCTTTGTCCCCGAAGCGGCGCTGAGGAATAGGAACCGATCCCTCATTCAGAAGGAGCAATTATCAGCGGCCGCTGTCCCCCCCGCCCCAAATTTGAACTCAAAGATAACCCAGGCTAACAGGCGCGGACATCGTGGATATCGCAGATGCCTGTACCCGTTTGGGGGACTGCGGGGACAATTGTGTGTACCGAAGAGGAGCCGATTGGTCAGGCTGAGATTTGGGTTTCAGTCGGACTTTCTCGATTTAGGGTTCCCCCACAGGGAAAGGCTTTCTCTGGCAGCTCTGTGAGCAAGTCCTCGTTTTCTTTCTACGGCTGTGGGCAGCCCTTGGAGTTCGCCATGTTTCTTTCATCATTGTGCTCCTGAGTCCAGTAGGTTTTCTGCAAGGGCCCTGGGTCTGGGGTCCACTCCTGGCCCTTACTTGGGGGTAGTTCGTTGCCTCTCTTGGGGTCCTGGTGGCGGAGTGGTTACGCGTTGGGCCGCTAACTGCAGGGTCAGCAGTTGGAAGCCACCAGCTGCTGTGCAGGAGAACGACGTGGCTTTCGCTTTCTGTAGGGAGTTACTGTCCCACAAACTCACAGGGCGGTTTTACCCTGCCCTATAGGGTCGCTCTGACTTGAACTCAACTCGATGACAGTGTGTTTGGTTTATTTTTTGTTTTTTTAGGTGCCTCTGATCTCATTTGTTTAATCTCTTTATAAACGCTCAGAAAAGATTGAGTCAAGACTCAGGCTAATCCTCTAAATTGTATCCTGCCTCATTAATTTAACTGCCTCGAATACTGCCTCCTTAAATCAGAGAGGCTAGGATTTATAATTCGTAGAATAATCACATTAAATCACAACATGGAGATGATTGCACCGTTATGTAACCGCTAAACTACAGCATTACGTAACTGCCAAACCACTGAGAATCATTGCCTAGCCAAATTTTGAGACATATTTTAAGGGAGACACAATTCAATCCATGAGCCCTCCCCATGGGAATGTTGTGATATACAATGTAAATAAAAGTTGTGAGCCATTGCACAAAGGTGATCCTGTATTTGAATGGAGCTGTAGTTTGAACTCCTAGAATGGACTCAGGATCTGTAGGTTTAGCAAGATACTAAGTAACAGATCTTAGTTTCCTATTTTTATCCATTACTACAAAGACTCTGACGTCTAGGGAAAGGTTATTGTTGTGACCCAAACCTGCCCCTTCAGAAAATCATGAAGTGAGGCAAATTAACCTTCAATATCTCTCCACAAGCTGAGCTGACACGACACCTGCTTTCAGAGCAGTTGTTTAAGAATTCTTAGAAAGATGTAAAAGGGAAACTGAATAGAAAATGTTGCCATTTGATATCCATTCTTTGGAGTCTCACAACATGTCTCAGTGAAGCAGGTGTAATTAAGGTCTCATACTATGGATGAAGGAGCCCTGGTGGTGTAGTGGTTACAAGTTGAGTTGCTAACCACAAGGTCAGCAGTTCTAAACCACTAGCCACTGGGAGGCAGAAATACAGTCTGGGAAACCCACAAGGGCAATTCTCTTCAGTTTTACCCTGCCCTATAGGGTTACCATCAGTCGGAACCAACTTGAGGGCAGTGAATTTTGAGTTTATATTATGGATGAGGGCATATATATATTGAGGAACTCCTAAGATCACACAGCTAGCAACCAAAGGGAACTGGGATTTGTACCCCAGGATTTTTTTTTTACCTCCAGGAGCCCTTCACAACAAATTTCAAGTTGATATAATGGGCTCAAAATGGGAAGACAAAGAGCTTGTAAAACCAACAAGTGATACATATATGAGAGTGGAGAATAGCTACTCCTGTACTTACTAAGTGCATTTCACATTGCCTTTAGTCCTTAATTTTATGAAGTACAAATTTATAATCCTTAATTATAAATGGGGAAAGAGGCAAAGAGAGATTAACTGGCTTGCCAGAAGTCACGCGTTTTAAAATGTGTAAACTAAAAACAAACCTATTCCCATCAAATCAGTTCTAACTCTGACTCCATAGAAGAGAGTAACACTGCCCCATAACGCTTCCAAAGCCATACATCTTTTCCATAACACACTATCACATCTTTTTTCCACGTAAGTAGTAAAGCCCGGATTTGAATATAAGCAGTATGGCTCCAGAGCCTGTGCTCTGGCCCAGTAGTTCTCACACCGTTGGATCTTACATGAACCAGCTGAGCCTCTTGTTCAAATGCGACTTTGATTGGGTAACCACCCAACTGATGTTGATGCTGCAGCTTCCAACCCAACTCCCTCTCCTTTTACCATCAGACCAAATACTCCCTTCCACCTTCATTATCTCACTGTTTCATTGTTAGTTGCCCTGGAGTTGTTTTCAACCCATAGAGCCTTTATAGCTGTCATCTTAACAGAAACTGATGGCCTTTCTTCCAAGATACCACTGCATAGGTTTGAATCACCAACCTTTGGCTTAGCAATTGACTGCAAACTTAGGAATCAGTCAGTTTTTAGGGAGGTTTTGACAGTCCCCTCTCAATAGCTTAGGTGACTCTATGGTCCCCTCTGCCTTTGAACTCACTAACAGTGATTTTCAACCTTCCTAATGCCGTGACCCTTTAATACAGTCCTCATGTTGTGGTGACCCCCCAACCATAAAATTATTTTCGTTGTTACTTCATCGCTGTCATTTTGCTACTGTTATGAATCGGGCAACCCCTGTGAAAGGGTTGTTCGACCCCCAAAGGGGTTGCAGCCCACAGGTTGAGAACTGCTGCTCTAATATAACTCCTTTTGCCAGCACTGCCATTTGGCCACCCTCTTCTGTGACTACATCCTATATTTCTCCAGAACACTTCCACTGCTGAAGTCAACAAACAAAATATTTCCACACTCGAGCAAAACTGTTTTACCCCTTGGCCTTCACCAAACCTGCTCTTCAACTTAGTGGCATCTGCAGGTGTCTATTCTACAAGTTCCGCAAGTCTGTTTGCCTCCATTGGCTTCCCTTTCTACCTGGACTCCAGTCATTTATTTTAAACTCCGCTCTTCATCATCTTCAGGTCCTTGAAGCACCCTCTGCCCTGCTACATCCACTCTAAAATAGTCCACAACTTGGGTCACAATTTCTTTCTCAGCTCTTCCTGTGTTGATATATCTATTCGTTAATTATTGCCACATAAGAAATTACCTTAAACTGTCATGGGCTAAAACAAATTTTTTCTGTGTCTCATATCGTTTTTGGAGTTTCTGTTTAACACGAATGTTAAGAGAGCTTATTACCTGGATGCTTCTGTCTCCAGGCACCCCAGGAGGTTACAGTCATCGCAGGCTGGCTGGTGCTGGACAATCTACTTCTAATGTAGCACGCTTAGTCTCTCTCTGCATGGACCTCCCCATTAGTGCTTGAGCATTCTCACGACAGCTGGCTTCTAGAGCAAATGATCTCAGAGTGCAGAAGCTGCCCTTTTGTGTGTGTGGTTTTGTTTTGTTTTTGACCTAACTTCCAACAGATCATTTCCACAGCCCTGTTCATTAGGATAAGTGTTGAACTGCTAACCATGAAGTCAGTGGTTCAAACCCACCATCCACTCCACAGGAGAAAGAAGAGGCTCTCTGTTCCAGTTAAGATTTGCAGCCTCAGAAATAAAGTTTTCAGGGTCACTATGAGTCAGAAAGGAACCCTGGTGCCATAGTAGTTATGCATTGGACTGCAAACTGAACGGTTAGCAGTTTGAAACCAGCAGTGCGTATGAATCAGAGTAGACTCAGAGGGAAAGGGGTTCTTGTGGGTTGCTCCCTGTGGGAGAAGACTGTACCAGGACTTACTGCCGTCGAGTTGATGCCAACTCAGCGACCCTGTAAGGCAGGGAAGAACTCCTGTGAGTTTCTGAATCTAACTCTATGGAAGCACAAAGCCCTGTCTTTATCCCATACCAAACATAAATGTCAGAATTTCATGTGCATGTATATTCATCTAGGTGAATGTGTTTCCATATATGTATGTATATACATGTGTGTGTGTTTGTTTATGCATGTGTGCATATTTGTGTGTGTTTATACTGCTCATATGCTTAAAAGGAATGTGTTCAAAGTAGTAAAACTAGAACAATTTCAAGGAAAGTAGTTGGAATAATAATAGGGTTTACTGAAAGATAAGCACTTCCCCAAGGAGCTCTGGTGTTAATGTGAGTTAGTCATTGGGTGACAGTTAAAATCCAACACCTGCTCCTGGAAAGAGAGATGAAATTGTTTGCATCATAAAGATTTATAGTCTTGGAAACCCTAAGGAGCAGTTCTACTCTGCCCTATAGGGTGACAGCCCAAATCACCTCAGCCTCAGTAGGTTTGGTTGGGTGCACCTCTCTAAGCTCTTGTTGACCAGGAGGTCCTCAAAAAAGCTTCTAGGACATTGGCCTTTTATATACAAAGGGCTTTGCAAATGTCAGTGTATGGCTTTCATCACCCAACACTGTCCGGTAGATTGCAAGTCTTTTATGCAAATAATCTGACCGATCCTTGCAAACCAATTAGGATAGCAAGCCAACCAATCTTCTATTAGAATGCAGACATCAATTATTTGAG